GCTGTTATCTTTAGTTTTTCATCAGAAAGAAAAGCATGGAATTTGTAACCTGCAGAGCTTGAACGTGAGCCTGCAGTGTGCCCTGGCAGCAAAGAAGGCTATACTGGTATCTTGAGCTGCGCTGGGCAATGCCTCCATTAGGTGGAGGGAGGTGACTTTTTCCCTCTGCTCAGCATTGGTGAGGGCATAGTGCTGTGCCCAGGTCTGGGCTGCCCAGTATGAGAGAGTCATGGAACATGATACTGGAGAGAGTCCAGCAAACGGCCACCAGGATGATGGAGGGACAGGAGCATCTCTCCTGTGAGGAAGGTCTCCGAGACCTGGGACTGTTCAGCCTGGAGCAAAGAAGGCTCAGAAAGGGGTCTCATCAGTGATATAAATACCTGAATGGAAGGTGCAGAGAGAATGGAAGCCAGGCTTTTTTCAGTGGTGCCCAGTGACAGGACCAGAGGCAATGAGCACACACAGAAACCCAGGAGATTCCCAGGTTCCTTCTGAACATCAGGAAACACTCGTTTTAAAATTTTTTATAATGTGAGTGTGACTGGGCTCTGAAGCGGGTTGCCCAGGGAGGTTGTAGAGTCTCCATCCTTGGAGATACTTAGAAGCCATCAGGACAAGGTCCTGGGCAACTGGCTGTAGGTGATTGTGCTTGAGCAAGGGGATTGGACCAGATGGCCTCCAGAGGTCCCTTCCAACCTCAACCATTCTGTGAACTTTAATATACTCTGGATATAAAACAATTTTGGTATGAATGTTACGCTACATAACAAAGAATTTAGCATTCTTTTCTTCTGAGAGTGTGCTTTTTCCAGTAATCCGATTGTACTTTGCCTAATAGGAAATTGATGTAGATGTATTCCTAGTATTTTGTTATTGAATATAAAATAATATTTTTCTGTAGGGAGTTCATAGAAACTACCAATTTGAAGTTCTAGAATTCTTTTTTCAGATGTGTTCAACTTACTAATCTTATTTTCTGTGTTTTAAATACGGTGCTTTGCTAGTTGCCTCCTAGGCATCTTATCTTGTAGTTTACACTAGTGAGAACTAGCACTTCTTTGTTTATTGCTAGTACTCATTCTTCTTAAAGTTTGATTCACATTCAAAACACTGTCAAGTTAGCTAAAATAATCAAAAAATACCTTCTCTAAGAAAAGATACTAGTTTCTGGATCTGAATTCCACGGTTGGAATCAACATGTCCTTTTAAAACTGCATTTTAAAAAAATAAATAACCAAACAAACCAGCACCTTAAAGTTTTATAGGGAAAGGATTCTTTCCAGACTGTAAAGAAAAGCAGAATGTTTTGAAAAGTCTCAGAATTTGTGTGGAGATGCTCTCTGACAAGATGCAAGAGTATAGCAATCCTAGTTATAGAAGTAGAAATTTGTCTTATTTTTTATTTCTTCTAGATTAATACAATAAAAGATAATGTTAGTCACCTGTTGTATTTTAAAATTAGTTCATACATTTTATGAATGTATTTAAGGGGGGGAAAAGTGTAATATTGTTCAAGTACTCATATAATAGAAAGTATTTTATAGTCGGCATTTTCACATGTAGTAAACATCAAAAAAAAATCAGATTTTTAAGACTCTATGAACATCACCGATGAGAAGGAATCCATTTCTGGGGGGTGAGAAGGCGGCAGTTAAGATTATCTTTAGCTGTTTGCTTAAAAGGATTTAACTGGACTACTTAAAGTCCTCACGTGCTGTTTTGTATATAATTTGGCGGTTTGTTGAAAAGTAATCTTCTGTCTTTTTGAAGATGGTTCTGCAAGTACTAGGTTGTCATAGAAAGTACGCCCTGAATGCGTCTGAAATTTGTGTGTCTTTCTTCTAAGCTTCACAATGAGGATGACCCCTCGGAGTCTTCAGCAGCTGAGGAGCCCTCCACGTCTACGGAGACTCTGCAGACCCCCCAGACAGCAGCCTTATCTGAAGCAGATACTTCCCCTCCACCTTACTGTAGCATAGCTGTAGAAGCAGCTGCAACCTCAGGTATTTTTCTTACCTAAGAGCTTGTCAGGGAGGAGAGTGTCTGGATCAGCACTTGGTTCAAAGTGGTACGATGCTGTGGGTTTTTTGTTGTTTGCTTTGGTTTTTTTTTTTCCTACGCACACAATTGCAGTAAAAAACTGTGCTGTCACGCACAGCCCTTTGTCTGGCTTGTTCAGAAGAAGCACTCTTCTAAATTACACTGATTGTGCTAAATTACTAGACTAAGTGGATGTTCATTAATTAGCGTAATAGGTTTTATTTAAGTCTGCATATAGTTAGGTTCCACATTTAATCTACATCTTTGAGTAGTGCTCCATTATTAGACCTCATTAGCAATTTTCATTGCCTCCTTATAAAAAAAAAAAACGCCAAAGTACTGATTTGTCAAAACTCAGACTTCTTAACTGTGTGGCATTGTTTGGTGAAAATATTGCCATGAAAAGATGCATTTTGCTTTAAAACTTCTTATGGAAAGTGACTAATGGGTCTTTTTCTCCATTTATTCACTGCTCCCTTTCTCGTGAGGTTGTGACTTTTCTTTGGAGTATGGGAGGCTTAACAGCAGAAACGTCGAAGTCTCTGTTTAAGCAAAGTTCCTTGGATTTGCATCTCCCATGTGCCAAATAAATATTTTAAAGTAACCTCCAACCTAATTTTTTAGTGTTGATTAAAGAATCAATTTCCTGTCCCTGTCCTTTGAGACAGTGTTTGCAAGTAAATGCATGGCTATGCAGAACTATCCCTATATAGAACATCTTTGTGGTGGTGTGCTGACAAATCTTTTTACCAAGTGACCTGTGCTGACAAGTCTTTACCATGTAAGCAATCTTGTTACAAACTACTGCTGAGTGCAGGAGGAAGCTCAAGGTGTGTTTTAAATAGCTTTTATTCATTTTGTTAGTAATTCTGTTCTATATGATGATGTTTTACTATTTTGCTGTATAATAATGAAGACTGTGGTCCATTTTGATAGGAGGAGCATTTTTAAAAGAATGTGGTGAAATTGAAATCTTGGAAAAACTGATTTTCACGGAACAAGTGGACTTAAGGGACTAATTGATGTTGATAATTAAAAACTTTTTGTTTTAGGTTGTTTCTGTGCATGTCTTTTGTATGATTTGACTAAAAAGCCTTTGGTTGGAATGCCTAGGGATGTAACTCAGCAAATAGGGTATTTTTGTTCATAGATTTGTTGGCTCCTTGCAGCATCTAGGTTAAGGTTTTGTGCCTTGAGTAGCAACTAAAAGCACCGTTCACTATTTTATTTTATAAAAATAAAGTCTTTTTTAAAACTTACAAGAACTTGAAATAGAAATATCATCAATTTCATCCTCTGTTGAAAAAAATAGACTTTAAAGCTCAGTAATTATGCATATGTAAAATCTAATATTCTTGACATCTTTCTGGCTTAAAAATGCATAACCTCTTTATTTTGAACAGAAACACACAATGAATTTTATCCTGTACCACCTCCATACAGTGTAGCTACCTCTCTTCCTACTTATGATGAAGCAGAGAAGGCCAAAGCTGCAGCAATGGCAGCTGCTGCAGCAGAAGTTGCCCAACGAGTAAGTGATACTATTCTGCTTTATTTCATTTTTGTGAAATGTTTTAGGATAATTTAATTATTTATAACAGTTAGGCCCATATTATGGCCTAGTTATTAAAATAATGGTGGGCTGGTGATTTAAATATTTTGGATGCTTAGGTTTTGTATAGATAGTTTAAGTTAGTTGTGAAGTACTATGAAAAGTGTATCATATTCACTCTTTTCTGAGGCATATCTGCTTTCTAAACAGATTTAAAAGCCAAATTTGGCCCTGTTTTAATAGTTTATCCAGTATTTTGTCATCTTTTAATTAGGCATCCACTACTAATGTTACTTTGTAGACTTATTGCTGATATTTAGAGTTTCAAATGGTAAAAAAAAAAAAAATAATTGATGAATAAAGTAGACCTTTAGAGAGGAAGGAGAATTCCAACGGTCTTGAAGGTACAAAACCCCAAATAACATAGATCTTCTTAAAAAGGAAAGGACCCTTTTGTTTGCTTCATGAAAACTTTAATACTGAAGTTCAAAAAAATATTCCAAGCACTTAAAACAAATAAACAAAACCCCATGCTGTGAGTTACCGTAAATGGTAAAGTGATAGGTGTATATTCAGTGTTTATAGTTTTGTGAGGATTGACCTTATAAAGAATACAGTCTTCAAAATAGAAAACGGTTGTCTGCAATTAGTGTTAAATGTTAGTTTTGTAAGCGAAATTCTTCCTTCTTTTCTCCCAAGTTTTGGAAGGTGGAAATTCTGCTGTTTGGTAGTATTGACCATAATATACTCTGCCCAAATTAGGCTTCCAGTGCTTTCACTAAAAATCTCCACCTTGAGATCAAATGTGATTGCATTTGAGATGTATTTAAAATCTTACTGACTGCAGTGTGCTTGTGACTGGGGAAAAAGTACTGCTTGCCCAGTGAGAGGCTGTTCCTCGACTGCTGTGCAGTCATCACAGTGCGCAACGCCCACTGTAAGGTATGCACAGCCAAAGTTAAAGTGGATTTGTGTAACATCGCCAGTGAAGGTGTTACACAAATCTGTTCTACTAAATGCAGCAGGGAACCAGGAATATTTGCATGGTTACCTGCCAAGTTTCTGCTATGAGGTGATGATCCCAAGTTGTAATTTTTTAACTGCTTTAACAGGAGCATGGATTCTACATAGTCTGTCCTTACTGCTTGTCCTATAAGTAAAACTTTTGCTGAAATACTGGTCTGAATGAAACATTCTATCTGAAATTGTAAACCTTTAAACTTACTTGGAACATTAGCAACCTAAATCTTCACTTTTAGGATACCATTACCAGTCTTGTGACACTTCAGACAGGACCTGTGCAACTCTCTTGCACGGTTCTTGTTGCTTTTAACTCTGTATGCGTAGAACCCTATGAGGTGAAAGTTTCGGACATATGAGCAGTCTTCCTTGACCTGAATTTCACAGGGAAAACCTGAGGCCAATTTCAAGGGAAAAAAAAAGCTAAGAAAAAAAACCCACTGTTTTTTTCCATGTCGTTTTAAGCTTTTTTTACTTTGGAGAACTCTTTGTCAGGTCACTGTGGCAGAAACATCTTTTGCCCTTCCTCAGAAAATGTGCCTGGCTTTGGGCCAAATTACAAGTTTTTGAAAAATGAGTTTCCACAGTTAATACACACAGCTTCACATTTTGTAAATGTGTGGAGATTTTCTTGCATGAACAAGTTTAGATTGCTTACAGCTCTGAAGGGGGTGGGACTGCAGGTGTGCTGTTGCCAGAAAACACTCTCAAATGTTCTGTATCAGAGTAGGATTACAAAACTAAAAGTAGATACACCTTATGACTGCTCTTGACTGCTTTTGGTGAAAACACTGGAACTGAGAAATTGGAATTTTTGGTGTGGCCTGAAGTAGTTTTATGATTCTTGGCCTTTGGCTAGAAGGGAAGAGGAAAGCCCATTTGATTCAACTGCAAGGGCATCAGTGGTAGGTGGATGGAAGTAGGACGATGACTCTGAGCTTCTGATGCTCAAGTGTTGTAGAAGTCTGGTTTTGGTTGGGCAGCGAGGTACCTCACTCAAAGTGAACACAGGCAGTGATCAGAGAGGGTAGGCCTCAGTCAAAATGAGACAAGGCATTGGTGAATGGAGAGCAGAGGTATGGAGGGAATAAAGAGAGATTTAAATAAGAAACAGGAGGGAGAAGGATAAAACAAAGGTCAAGAGCACAAGTCTTACGAGGAGCGGCTGAGGGAGCTGGGGTTGTTTAGCCTGGAAAAAAGCAGGCTGAGGGGAGACCTTATTGCTCTCTATGACTGCGTGAAAGGAGGTTGTAGAGAGGTGGGTTTAGGTCTGTCTCCCAAGTGACAGGTGATAGGACAAGAGGAAATGGCCTCAAGTTGCACCAGGAGAGGTTTAGATGGGATAGTAGGAAAAATTTCTTCAGTGAAAGGGTTGTCAAGCATTGGAACAGGCTGCCCAAGGAAGTGGTTTAATTGCCATTCCTGGAGGTATTTAAAAGATCTGCAGATGTGGTGCTGAGGGACACAGTTTAGTGTCTATGCAGTGCTAGATTAACGGTTGGACTTGATGATCTTAAAGGTCTTTTTCCAAACAAAACAATTCTATGATTCTATGAAACTGGACCTGATGGAGAAAGGAGCTCAAGTGGGAAAACATGGTACTGGGAGAGGAGCTGAAGCTGGTGTGTGAGAAAAGAGGAGTAGGGAGGGAGAAGGAATCTGGGGTTAAGAGGCAGGAGAGTAGGATATGATGACAAAGTGAGACATAAACTTTTACATAATTTGCTTTTCCAAAACGGACAGTAGAGCTTGGCATTCAAGAATTAGGTGCTGACACCACAAGAATTTCATTTACGTATCAGTAGGAATACACCATCATTCCCCTAAAGCAGAGATTGACTAAAAAATTGTAGACTTACAGCAGTATTAAAGTAGTATCAGAAGTCTACTCGGTGTACCTAAAAGCCACAGTCCTGCTGACTGCTGAAGATAGCAAATTTGATATAATTTCTACTCAGTTTGCTCCTATTTTTTGGCTTTTTCTTTTTTTTTTCTTTTATGTCTTTTTTTTTTTTTTTTTAAAGCACATGCGTGCAAACACACAAGCTATATTAAAGAAACAGTATTAATGTTGCAAAGTTGGGATTTAGGGAAAAAGTAAGAAATGCTGAAGTTGAGTTCCACTTGTGTAGATGATATTAAAATTATGTACCAACACAGTTTTAATTAATGCCTTTTTAATTAACTTACTACGTGATACTGCCACAAAATCCCTGCCTTATTTAACACCTCTGATGGACTTACACTGGGGTGGACTAAGACTATGTAATAAGACTGTCTTAACCTGGCAGATGACTGGAATAAGAAAAAAAGATCATGTTAGAATGGTGATTTATCATCTTGAGAGGGAAGGATTTTGATCCTTAGCTCTGAATACCCATGGAAGAACAGATAAGTCACTTAAACTTTGCACTACTGGTATGTAATTAATTGTTCTCTCACTTTCACTGTCTTGGAGAACACAAGCAGTGACAGCTGCAGACAGTATCCCACTTGCATATTACACACTTCACGAAACATACACAAATGATACAACACGTAGTTTTTATTTACAGCCTTATGAACTTAGTGTTCTTATCATTGTGAACTCTGCTATGATCTGTCTTCTAGTTTCTTCCTTGTAAAATGAGGATATATTGTCTCACTACAATAATGTGAACGGCTGGAAAACCTGAAATGTCCTTATGTTACCTTGAGTGATACATGAAGTTCATAATTGTTTCATGGTATAGTCCAAAGTGCGCAGTAAAGGCTACAAACCTACTCATTGAGCAAAAGAGAAGAAAATGGTATAAAAAGGCAGCACAATTAATAAACAGCTTTCATATTTTTCCCCTGAATCACGTAGCAATCTTACAGAAAACATTGGTGTAATTGTATTAAAGACTTCATTGTAGGCCATGCATCCACCCATTGTAGGAACAACCTAAACTTAACATTTACTGAAACTTTCAGTACTTATTTTTATAGTTCTTTGTGTAGCTTCTCTTAAAAGAATAGGTTGTGTACAAAGACTTCTATCAAATGCTCCCAGATAGCTCAATGTATCAAAGAAATTGTAGCAGTCCTGTGTCATCAGTAGCAATAGCATTATATACCCTGGCTTTTGATATTTTCCTTTTCAAATTCTCAAGGTCAGCTTTGAAAGGTTAATTTAAATGGGCAAGAATACTGCTAACAGTTAAATGACTTATTTGTATGTTGCAATGAATGGCTTTTACTTAATGCTTTTCAGTTGCATTTGTCTTATGTTTTTCTGTTTTTACATGCTTAGCACGCCCAGTTTAGGGAGTCTAGGAGTCTGTTTGATGAAATATTCCTCAGTCGTCCAGAGGTATGGTATAGTTCTCTCTAGTTTAGACTTTAACTATGAATTTTCCTGCTGGCAAACAAATGCTTCTGGGGTTCATTGTGCATTTTTCCCCCCACCATTAACTTCTCCATATTGTTTTGTATGCTGAAGGTATCATTTATGGGGTTTATTAAGCAATTTGACCCTTTCCTCAGAAGTTTCTCTCTGTACATCCACTGCATTGAGAAGAGTTATATCAGTGTAGTTAACCAAGTGGTTCCTGAAAACTTGGATTCTTTACCTGATTAAAGGTAGCTGTCTTACTATACACCATGCTAGGTTTCAATCTGAAAGAAGTTAACAAGCATTGGGGGTGGGGGGAAAACAGTCTTATTTTTGCAGAATACTACAGAGAGCACTACAGTTTGAGGAGTTAATAGGTTTGACTTCAATAGATGCTGTGTACCATTTGATGTTCTTTTGCTTAGAGAAATTACTGTGTGACATGCCATTTATGTTGATAATATATTTTGCTATTTAGATGTTTCTGTGGTCATAGGAACAGTAAATTTTCTATTTATACAAATCTCAGTGTAGTTAGCAAACAAGAAATATTGTCCATGACCCTTAACATGGCTAAATTTGTCAAAAATCAGTATGAGATACTGAAACAGTATTATATATTTTATGGATTTGTGCGTGGTGTTATCTAACATTCTTCTCATTAAAAAGAAAATATATGTATAAATAAAATATATTATTGATCTCATTGATAAAAATGTCAATATCTAATAGAAGTATTTCTGTGAAATTATGTTTAGTTCTAAGCATCAGCAGGGAGTACAATCATTCTGCAGTGTCCCTTTTCATTCCTCAGTGAATGGTGGCAAACAATTATATTTTGAAGAAAGGCTGGGGCAGTTGACACCAACTAGATCAAATGAGAACACTGTGAAAGACAGTATTAGTGGGGCTTGAGCAGTGGCCAGTTAATGTCTTCTGTCTGCAGGACTGGTCGTAAAACCACGTAATACTAAATGATGTAGATATAGGCTGAACAGGATTTAAGCGCAGGAAATTATTTCACTTCTTAAACATGCTGATAATTTTCATATGCCAATTTTTGGAGACAGTAAATAGAACTCGGCTTAATATAATTCCTTTTTGACATGGAGTGTAATAAATTGCAACTTGTTCACACTTACTACAACAGTGCCTACTTGCAAATGTCTGCTCTTATGTCCCTGTGTTGTATATTGACCTGTGTTTCTCACACGTGTAAGCGTTAGAGAAGCTTTATAGAGAAACTTGCTAAACTTGTTTTTGTAGTTGAGCAAAATTTTCTTTTTCTGAAGCAACATTTTGCATAGAGCATAATTCACTAATTGGTATGGAAATGCCAGTATGAAGTACTGTAGTGAGCAGGCAGTTTAAAAAAAAGTCCAAAAATTATTTTATATAGGGTTTTATAGACCTTCTGAAATTAAAGTTCAAAATAGTTTTTGTTGTCCTGACTTGAAAAAGGAACTTCTGTGGCATACATTTCAGAGATAAGCACATTCAAATGCAGCTCTTTGTTTAATGCATTTTCACCCGCTTCTTTCCCTTCTCCCCCATCAGTCTTGTAGCTGCAGCAAAGTTGAGCTAAATAAACTAATGCATTCATAGTCACTTAAGATGATCATTTAGGGGCATCTGAAATTATGTAGAGTTGAATGACGGCCCCTTAAGACTGTTGTTCAGCTAACTTTTTGTGCTTTCCTTGGAATTGTCTATGTGAATAGCAGTGTTTTTAAAGTAAGTTATCTGATACAGAGTCTTGGTTAATTAATCTGAAATAAAGAGCACAGCTGGAATTTCACAGCCATGTTACCAAGGGTGAAGCTGCCTGCCTTGAGTTGGTACAGTTTGTTCTAGCACATTTTTAACCATAATCACTATACCCTGGTAAATTATTTTGCTGTGTTGACTAAAGGTCAACATGTCAATCACGTGACAGACCCTTAGATCACTGTGGTTGTTTAATGCCCTTTTACTTACGAACTTCATATACGAAATAACATTTGGTACAGCGACTGAATAATGTGTTAGATTTACACTGTTCCAGTAGTGTTTGCTGTGGGTGAAACAGCTAAGTAAATCTTACTTGAACTGATCTCCCTTGATTTCTTTTTTTTTTTTTAATAGGTCATTTCTTATCTCAATCCTAATACCTTATGATTAATTGGAGGAAAAAGTAGGAAAAGAATGTTACTCATGCTTATGTCTAGACCATATTACTGCTGCTACTGATGGCATCGTTTAACTTGTATCATCCTGCATTATTTTGATGTTATTTGTTTAAGTATAAAATTGGTGACTTTAACTGGTTTTACAGTTCTCATCAGGTATTCTTTAGTAAGTGCTGTCATTGTGAAAACTTTTACAGTTGCCAGTCTACAGTTGCAGCAGTTGTTTTACTTGTGCACAGAACTGCATAGGTAAGATCTGCCAAGTTCTGTTGAAAATCAAGTACTGAGAAACAAAACAAACTCATACTTGCAGTATTTTAAGATCTAGGATTTTGACACGATGGGAGAAATTTTTTGGATCGTTTTGACTGATATCTCTGTTAACTTTTGTTTGACTTAAAAGTACTGTGCTCTTTGAGTTCAGAGGACTTTTAAACACTTTTAATGTGTTCGCGCCCTCTGGTGTCCCTAGAGGTTTTCTTTGCTTTGTGTATTTTTCTGTAGGTTACAGGATTGTTAAATTGGTTAGTGCAGTGCTGGTGCATCAGCAATTTATTTTAAGATACTAACCTTATTCTGAAACTTTATATTTTGGGAAGCATTAAAAGACTTTTCTGTTAGGAAAAAAAAAAAAAAAAAGAACATTCTATGTAATGGTTTTGCAAAAAAAATATTTAATAGCTTGTCTGCATATCAAGATAGTTACAGTAAGACAAGAGATTTCTGTTGGTTTTCATTGTCAAAGTACTCATCTGAAATAATTTCTAGCTCCATTTAAGATGAATAGGCAGTATGTACATATCTTCTACAGAAACTTTTCAGTTAAATTTGGGCTCTGTCAATATAAGCAACAAATAAGATTTGGTTTATAGATAAAAAATATTTTTCTTTTAAACTGCCTTGATGTGGACGTGTTACAGAAATGTCAATTTTCTTCTAGCTTTAGAAACATAATTAATACTTTAATCCTACAGATAGTTATTCTAAAGTAAACTTTTCACTAAATTATCACTAACCTGTAAATCCAGGAAGAAGAGTATCCACCACGAGATGATTTCAGTGATGCAGATCAGCTTAGAGTGGGCAATGATGGCATCTTCATGTTGGCATTTTTCAGTAAGTTATCTTGTATCGCAGACCTACTGAAGTATATCTTAATTGTACCTTTTTTTCTGTGGAATATAAAAGATAGCTGTGATAAACTGCATTGATATACTGTAATGAATGGATTTTTTTTTAACCTCTACACAGATATAAACACTTCCTGTTCCAGATGTAGCAAATAACGTTGCACTTTTTTTTTTTTCTGTGGCATCTGTCACAGATAAGGGGACAAAACAAAATCATAGTACATGTTCTGAGGTATAGCAAGGCTGCGCTGTTACCTATGAATTGGGAAATTCTGTCATCTTCTGATTGGACTACCAACTTGAATTCGAGGCTGGGTCACAGAAATCTCACAGTCGATTTTTAAGTAGAAAGAATTTGAGAGAGGTGATGCACCACATAAAAGTTGCTGATGTTAGCATAGTGAACGAAATAGCTGTGGGTGGATTTTTGGAACAAATCCAACAATGCTCACTTTCAGGCTGAACTAACTACTAGCATATAAAAATGTACTGTGTTCAGGTAACATCTGATTGCAACCAGCACTACTGTAGCACTTCTTCAGGTACTGTGTGTGCATACTGTGCATGTCTTATTTTGTACTTATGTACTGCATTGAGCAAAGTTAGATTTAGCCACTGTAAGTTACTTCTATAAAACAAGCTGCTTCTGTTTTGCCAATTGCATATTTCTTTCTAATTTCTGAGGATATTTTCCCTTTCTGAAATAAATGTGTTTGGCAACCTGGGTGGAAGCTTGGTGTTGGGGATGTAGCTGTTCTTTTTAGCATTTATCAGGATGAAAGCTGATTGGATATCTGCTGAAATCTCCTTTATGTCTTTCAACCAAGTTCTCATCTTAGTTTTTTTTTTTTCTTCAATATCTTTTACAGTCTTTTTATTTAACTGTTACACATGCAGGTTATAGAACTTTCATGGCAGTTTTTTTCATATTAGCGTACGATGTACTAGAACAATGTGTTTGCATCTTGAATACCTCACATAGCAAATATATAAATATATATATAGGGTAATGAAGTGAGTTTTGTAGTCTGACCTCTTTCTGTAGTTGGACCATAGAAAGGGTATATATTCTTGGCAAAGGGAACTATGGCTTTATTTTTCTTTTTCCCTTTTTTCCCCTTCCCTATGCGCTAAAACTTTCTGTATTTAACCCATTTAGTTAGGTTCTGTATTGTGTGAACTTGTTCTTGCTTTTAAATCCTGGTTCAGGCCTTCATTAGCACTGCACTTGGAGGTCAAGTGGATTGTTGGCTCTAATATGTTTTAAGTCCCTAAAATCACAGCTGAAAACAAACTTGTTAGCCTGCAGCTAAGAGCACAGTAGTAATAGCAATCCTGCTATGCAGAAGCTGAACTGGAATCAAAGGCTCCAGAAAGGCTTCAATGACACTCACATGCAGTTGGCCAAAACTGCAGGCCCAGAACCTTGTGTGCATCTTCAAGAATGCAGACATTTTCTTGGATAAACCGGCAACTTTCTCTTCAGATAGCTGTTCAGCTGAGACTGACTGCACAGAGCATTACTTTTACACATTTAACAAAATTACTCTGTAGATCGTAGTTTTTCTTGATTATTCTGAGACTGTGTTATTGCCAGCTTTGCCTATGAATGAAATGTATAAAATGAGTGCTTACGCATCGCAAGCTATTTATGCAAGTGTATGCTTAACTGGAATCTGTGTTGGCTGTTATGGATACCAGTTACATATGGAAATGAATAAAGTTTACTTGTTGTTTGTTTTCCTAGTATGAGGAGTTCATAAAAACTCATAACATTTATAGACCTGTAATATTAATTTTCGTTAGTTTTTCCTTAGGGAAATAGGAGAACTAAATGAAAAATTAGTTTAACTTAATAAGGTTAGATCGTAAATAGTGGGTGGTGTATTCCTGTCCCTGTAATACAGAGATAAAAGTCTCCATAAAGTTGATGTAAGAGAGCAGGAATTAAAATGAAATTTACAGCATGGCTATCTTTTGGGGCTTTCTTTAGGGTGGGATATGTTTAAATGCCGCACGTAGAGGTGGCAGATCACAGACAGCCTAAAATAAGTTCTCTCAGTTAAAATGCAGGAGAGCAGTGTCAGGCACTGTGCTCTAGTGAGAGGAGTATGGAAAGCACAGCTTGTTCCAGATGTGCTCTCCCACCTCCTCCTGTGACTGTTACGTACAGCGTTGGTGGAAAGGTCTTAGGGGGGCGGACGTGGGTGGGCTGGCTTTGTCTTAAATATGAGAAGTTAGCTTTTTTAAATTTCATTTTATTCAACTGAAGTATAACAAAATACACTTTTTACTGAGCTTGCCTGCGTATTGCAATCAACTAGTGATACGTAGCTACCATCTAGTGGTAGCTGCCCAAGTTGCATAAAATTGCTGTCTTGAGGCCATCTAGTGGCCAGATCTCTTGGTTTGGATTTTTTGTTTGCATTAGGAGCTTGGTGCACGCAAGTTAGAAACCAGTTTCCTATCTAAGTTGTAAAATGCTGTTCTGTTTAGCGTCACTAAATAGAACGAGACAATATACTTTAAAGAATAAAACTCCTTTGCGTGAACAGGTGCTTTTTTGCTTTAGCACTTGATTCAGAATCTTAGTGGGGAAATTTGGAAAACAACCTATTTTATTTCTAATATGTGGTAAAATCATATGTTTTAAGAAATTGGTGTTGCTCTCGAAATCTGTGATTGTGTTGGTGAGCAAAGAATCTGCTCTCTGTTTGTCAGTTTCTGATTTTGAGGTAAATGAATATATTAGTGAATATATTTGTTTGGCTATTAATGCAGAAGGCAGCAAATTTTACTATCAGACCACTTAATTTTTTTTTATTATGTATTTTTATGTCAGTTGTGCCTTATACAGCATAGTATAAATTTTCCTGAATGCCAGAGGAAGTTAATAGGTGAGTTTCTCAGAGTGATGGGGTTTTTTAATTGTTTAATTTTTTTTTCGCAACAAAAAAAGAGGGATTTCTAAGCTATTTCTTTCCATTTTGAACACAGCTGTAATGCTGATAGAGTAAGTAGCTGTGATGACCCAAAGGGTTTGGTTTTCGTGCTTAATCTGCCTGTAGCTGAGGTCTTTTGAGTCATGTCCGATTCCCTCATCCTGGTTCATTATTTGAAGGAGATTATTTTGGGCAGTAATAAAATGCTTGTATGAGGGTTTTTTTTGTTATATTTAAGGAGTGCTTTAGAAAATTCAACCAGCCTTTTCACCTGTGGGGCCCAGAAGGAATTACAGAGCTCATCTGGATTCTTTGAAAACGCAGAAGAGAGTTTTGGGTTGTCCCTACAACCCAATGTCCCTACAATGAATATTAATTTGAACCTCACAGATGGGTTAATAAGGAGGAAGAAGTGGAGAAAAGTGTTCGATTATACAACCAAAATTCAAGTTCTCACATAGAGATCTCGATTGTTCTTTTTGAACAACACCTGGGCAATGTAAACACTGTGTACCACTCACACTAATAAAATTTCATGGTGTGGAGAAATGTAAACGTACATGTTGTCCCATATGCTATATTGGAACAGATAATAACCATACCAAAATTTTGTAAACTAATGCTTCTACAGTTTTCAAAGCTATTAGATGCTTCAAGCAGTCAATAAACATGCAAGCTGGGATATATACTTGGGGGGTTTCAAGCGGGCACAAGTTGAAAGGCAGAGGTGTTGCGTGAGCTCAGGGTGAGCACAGCCTCTGGTCGTCTGACCCCGGGGAGTGGAACGCATGGTCTAAATTTCTGGTGGGAGAATTCCTCTGTGTGATTTTCGGAGACCTGACTTCTGAATGTCCACATCACGGATGTTATGCAGGTTTCCCTTAGTCATGCAAGAGAAGCTGAGGGAAAGTCATTTGACTGAAATTGCTAATGTTGGAAGGAACTCTTTTGGCCGTGCTTGTTTCCCTCTGATTGTGAGAGGAGCCTGGCTGACCTTCATACACAATCACCTAACTCCTTTCTTTATGCAGAAAGAATTTGACTTACATGGTTTCTCCATGCATGTTGAATGTAACACAGAGTAATTGGAATGAAGAAGCTTCGAGTTGGGCATGAAGAAAAATTTATCGACAAGGGTAATGAAGCAGTGGGAATAAATTGTGTAGGGA